TCGGCCATGGGCCAGGGAGGGCAGAGCTGGTGGTACTGGCCCCAATGGGGGGAGCTGGGCAAGGGGTGGAGTGTGGGCACTGGTTGCTCTCCCCATAGTTTTGCTGGAGGTTCTTTGCCTGCTACTGTTTGCACAGCTCCGGGCACTCACACCCCGGGCAGAGGGGAGGAGGTGGCATTTGGGATGGCACTGTTGCCCTGCCAACCTGCAGCCCCCAGCTGGCAGGGTTTACTGGATGTGCTGCTCCACACCAGAGGCTGGCAACAAACCCCAAGGGACGTGGCCCCATCTCTGCAGGAATGGGGTACAGTGTGGTGGTGTGGCTGGGATACCAGCCCTGAAGGGCATGGGGTGGGGTGTGAGCACAGGGACTGTTGCTCCCACCAGCATGTCCAAGCAGTAGAACAGCGTCAGTGGGCCCATCTTGGAAGAGAAGCAGAGCCCCTACAAGTGCTCAGCACCGAGGGCAGCCTCTTCCAGCACACAGCCTGCGTCACTCCAGCAGACTCTTTCCCATGTCCCCAACAGGACAGGGCACATGCAGGGAAATTCCAGTGCCCTCACAGCTGTCGCTGTCAGCACCAACCCCCCGGCAGCAGAGCTTTGAGGGCATGGCAGGACTCACAGCAGCAGCACCCAGCCCCATGGGTACCCACGGAGTGCTCAGTGCCAGACCCCTGCTCCAGTCACAGCCCTGTGCTGTCCATGCAGGATGGGCACGCGGCTGGGCTCTGCCGTGCATCCTGGGGAAGGGAAGGGACCTCCAGACAGCCCGGGTCGCCAGCCCAGCACAGCGATGTCTGTGGCGTGGTCTGTGCCATGGGCACCCCGTGGTCGGGGTGTGGTGGGGAGGTGGGAGTGGGTGCGGGGCCGAGCAGCGGGAATGCAGCACACAGGCACTTTGTTGGGCCAGGGTGGGCGGAAGTCAGGGCGTTAGATCTGAATGCTAAAGTGTGTTGTTCAGGGGCCAATAAAGGCCCCATTGTATGTAAATAGTTTATAAAGCAGCATATGACTTCCAGTGCAGGGCAGTGGCAGAGAGAGACGAGGGCAGGCGGAGCAGAGCTCTCCTGCAGGAGGCATGAGACCTTAGAGGGGCCACTGGGGGCAGCTTGCGAGGACCCTTTCTCACAGGTACGCGTTGACACGACTCTCCACACCAGGGGAGGCTGGAGGGCAGGTTCCAGCCCCACAGCCTCATGTCGGGGTGGGAAGCAGCTCCCGGGGCTGCTCAGTGCCAGTGGGAGGCTCTGGTGGGGCAGGGGTCTGTGCTTGGAGTGCAGGGTCACTTCATGCTCCCCAGGCAGGGATGGTTCTGGGAGGGTGACAATGCATGGTTGCATAGGGGGTTCCCTGGCCCTGCTCCCACAGGGAGTGGGGTGACAAAGGAAGGGATGTGCTGGTGCAGAGGAGCCCATGCTGCTCCTTGGGTGCATTCCTAGCCTAAGAACACAGCACTGGGTACGGACTGGGGGTCCCTGTGGAGGTGTGGGATCTTCGCCATCCTCTGTGGTAGCTGTGGGTTAGGATCCCTGTGCCAGCGTGGGGTGGCAGGGCCAGACGGTCTCCTGCCTGGTCTGGTCAAAATGCTGCCTTGAGCCCTGTCAGCAGCAGGAGCCACTCTGCCATCCTGCTCTCCATCCATCCTGCTGTCCACCTGCCAGGGCTGTGACAGCCAGTTGCTCCCAGGGCTGCTGCCACCGGGGCCAGGACATGGTGGCTCTCAGCCAAGGACCCTTCCTGCTCCTAACACCGTCTCTCACCGCTCTCTCCTGCAGACGTGAGAAACGATGAACTGGGCCGGGCTCTACACGGTCCTGAGCGGGGTGAACCGCCATTCCACCGCCATCGGCCGCATCTGGCTCTCCGTCATCTTCATCTTCCGGATAATGGTGCTGGTGGTGGCAGCTGAGAGTGTCTGGGGGGATGAGAAATCCGCCTTCACCTGCAACACCCAGCAGCCTGGCTGCAACAGTGTCTGCTACGACCACTTCTTCCCCATCTCCCACATCCGTCTGTGGGCCCTGCAGCTCATCCTCGTCACCACACCAGCCCTTCTTGTAGCCATGCACGTGGCCTACCAGCAGCACCAGGAGAAGAAGCTGCTGCTGCTGACGGGGCACGGAGATGCCAAGCACATGGAAGAGGTGAAGAAGCACAAGATGCGCATCTCGGGTTCGCTGTGGTGGACGTACGTCTGCAGCGTGGTCTTCAGGCTGCTCTTCGAGGCTGTGTTCATGTACATCTTCTACATGCTCTACCCGGGCTACCAGATGATGCGGCTGGTCAAGTGCGAGGCTTATCCCTGCCCCAACACTGTTGACTGCTTCATCTCCCGGCCCACTGAGAAGACCATCTTCACCGTCTTCATGCTGGTCACCTCCAGCGTCTGCATTGTCCTCAATATGGCAGAGCTGGTCTACCTGGTGGTGCGGGCCTGTGCCCGCCGGAGCCGGCACAACTCCAACCCCTCGTCGGGGAAGAGCTCCTTCTATGGGCACAAGCATTCCTCCGAGTACAAGCAGAATGAGATCAACCAGCTGCTGACAGAGCAGGACGGTTCCCTCAAGGACATGCTGCGCCGCAACTCTGGGCTGCAGGAGAAGGGTGACCGCTGCTCTGCCTGCTAGGGCCAGCACTGTGGGGGACCCTGCCCCACAGTCGCCCCACGGCCTTGTTGCTGTCCCTGTCCCAAGGATAGCATTCCTCAGGCACCACTTGGGCTCTCCTACATGGCCAGGAGAGCATCTTGGGCCATTAAATCTCCATTCTCAGGTGCTGCCTCCCTCCTTTCTGCTCTGGCCGGGGCATGCCGGGAGCTGGGGTGCCAGTGTGGGGTGCCCACTCCTGCACCCAAGCCCTGGTGGGTGGCACCAAGGGCTGTGGAGGCTGCAGTGCCTGGGCTGAGCTGGGGCTGTGGTGCCCTGGCAGATAGCTTGCAGGAGCAGTGACCCCTGGGTGGCATTGATCAGTGTCCAAGGGCTTGTGCTCCCCCAGCACCAGCCCCTGCAGCCCCGAATATATTTAGAAAAGTGCCCAGACCAAAAATAGAGGGAAAAGGTTTCCCCAGTGGCTGTTCCATGTGCCAGTCACAATGAAAGCCAATGGGGCATGCAGCTGCCTTGTGCCCCAATAACCCCACGCCTGCTGTTGGGTGAACGGACAGAGGAAGCCAGGCAGACCTGTCCGCACCCACTGAGGAGCTGGGGACCAGCTGGGAAGGGGCCTCGCAGCATCCTGCATCCCGGGAGCCGACAGCACGGGAGCACTGGGCTCTGCCCCACACACCCACCTACGGTGAGGAGTCCCCAGGGATCCCCTTGGTGCTCCCAGATTTCTGCTGGAGGCCTTTGCTCCCATTGCCTTCCTTTTAATGGGTTAGGGGGTCCCTTGGGATGGGGACACTGCAGGGACAGCCTTGGGTTGGGTCTGTGCACTCCTGCCCATCCGGGGGATGGGGTGGTGGTGTGGTGGGCTGTGGGGCAGCTGTGTCTGGAGGGCGGCTGTCTTGCAGGGCAGCTGTGCCATGGGGGACTGGAGCCTGCTGGGGAGGCTGCTGGAGAACGCCCAGGAGCACTCCACAGTGGTGGGGAAGGTCTGGCTCACCGTCCTCTTCATCTTCCGCATCCTGGTGCTGGGGGCAGCTGCTGAGCGGGTCTGGGGTGACGAGCTGTCTGGCTTCTCCTGCGACACGCAGCAGCCCGGCTGCCAGAACGCCTGCTATGACAGCACCTTCCCCATCTCCCATCTCCGCTTCTGGGTCCTGCAGATCATCTTCGTCTCCACCCCCAGCCTTGTGTATCTGGGCCACATCCTGCACCTGGTGCATCTGGAGGAGAAGGCACAGCAGCAAGCGGCAGCGCGGGCCGGCAGCGGGGCCAGGCGGCCGCGCCCCAGGCAGCCCCAGCTCCCTGCAGGGGACACGCGGGGACGGGTCTGCATGCGGGGGGCCATCCTGAGGACGTACATCTGCAATGTTGTCTTCAAGGCTCTCTTGGAAGTGGCCTTCATTGTGGGCCAGTACGCCTTGTACGGGTTCCAGCTGAAGCCCCTCTACACCTGCAGCCGCTGGCCCTGCCCCAACACTGTCAACTGCTACATCTCCCGGCCCACTGAGAAGACCATCTTCATCCTCTTCATGCTGGGGGTGGCCTGCGTGTCCCTGCTGCTCAACCTGGTGGAGATCTACTACCTGGGTCTCACCAAGTGCCGGCAGGGGCCAGGCCCCAAGTCCCGCATCATAACCACTCCCAGTGGCCCTTTAGGGCCCCGCAGTGCCCATGTCACCCTGCCCAGGGTTGGCAGCCCCCTGGCTGCTGGCAGATCCCCCCACGGCCTGGCACCCCTGAAGAAGGCGGGAGTGTGGCTAGGGGTGGCTGGTGGGTCCCACGGGGAGATGCGAGCGGCAGACCTGGCAGTGTGAACGTGGCCTGCTGGGACGGTCAGGGATGGGGGATGCACTGGTGGCCACAGTGAAGGTTCAGTCTCCAGGCCCTGCCAGGCCCGTGACATGGATCCCGTGGCCAGCATGAGAGTTGGGCATGGCCCTGGGCACACGGCTCAGCTGCTCCCAGCACTCCTAGGAGCAGCAGGGCTGAAAGTAAAGCTGGGATGGGGGAGCAAATAAACACTCACTGCACCTCCCTTGACTCCTGCTCTGCCCACATGGCATTGCTCTCTGACTGGTCCATCCTACAGACACACTGCATGGCCAGGGCACGGCCACTGCTGGGTTGGGTTGGGTTGGGCTGCAGCCCTGTGGGCAGGTGACAGGTCAGGTGAAGTAGGGCAGGGACAGGCAGGGCATGCCCGGCTGGCGCCAGAGGGCACTGGGTCAGGGGCCATCCCAGCATGCCCAAGCTGGCAAGGTAGGAAGTGCAGGCAGCGCAGGCAGGGACAGACAGGAGTGTGGTGTACAGCAGCAGAGGGACACTGGCCATGCTCTCCTGCAATGCTCACCCTGCCCAGGGTGGGAAACTAGGGGCTGCCAAAAGTTTTCCACATCTTTATTTGAAATGAATGGTTTCCAGAGACACAGGGTTAGTTCCTACTGCCCTGGCATCACTACAACAAGACTGGTGAGCGGCTCACTCTCCACATGGACACAGAGAACAGATGGCCCCAGGCCAGGGCCCAGAACAATATATACAGGCTCAACAGGAGACCCATGTACAGCTCAATAAAACTGACCAGAACACAAGGAGGGGCAGGAGGCAGCAGGGAGTGGCACAGCTGGAGCCAGACTTGCTCTGGGCAGGGCGGTGGCAGCCTGCTGCTTTGGAAGGGAGGGGGAGACCAGGCAGAGCTCCCTATTTCTGCCAGCAGCTGCCCAAGCCCCTGGCTGGAGCAGAGGTTCCCACTGATGGCACCTTGCATGGGAGAGGGGACCTACACCAGGACAGGGGACAGTAGGGAAAGAGAGGCAGCACTGACCCAGACCCATCTCCATCAGTTTTCAGACAACTCAGGAAACACTGACCAAATTGAGAGACATCTCAGCTGCACATGAGGGAGGTGTCCCCATGGTAAGGCCAGATCTCTGCTCTCATGTTCCAGTGCCAGCTCCCTCCACTCTCTGAAGCTAACCTAAACCTCTCCCACACCTGGGAAAAGCCCTCCCCCTGACCCTACAGCTCTCAGGTAGCCTGTGGTCTATCCCTGCTGGCTTGAAACCACAATTCTGCCCCAGTAGCAGAGCTACTGTTCCTACCATACCACCTGCAGCCTCATGAGGGAATGATGAAGGAAGAGGGAAATAAAAGCTTTGGGGCCACTGGTCTGATGGTGCACTGCTGCCTTGTGAGATTCCTGCCCTGGGGCAGGGGAAGAGGGGGGGAGTGGAAGGGCTGGGGGTAGGGGGGACAAAGGTGCCCCAGGGACTCTGCCACCCCTGTGCCATGGGAACTGGCCCTGGGAAAGATGGTTCACCCAGCAGCCAAAAGGAGGAGGCAGAGCTGAGCATGAGGGCCACGTATGTAAGGGAGGCCTGTAACAAGCAGGATGGGATGTCCAAGTCTGGTAATGATGAAGGGACAGCACTGCTGCAGCACCATCCCCTCCCGTGCTGCACGGCCCCTGCCCTGCAGCGGGAGGCAGGAAGATGGGGTGTCCAGGGCTGGAGCGCAGCCAGCCCAGCAGCACCTCGCTCTTAGTCCATGTCATCCTCCAGGCTGCTGAGCCGACTGTGCTCCTCGTAGATCTCCCTGACGGCCAGGATGCGGTTCAGCATGCTCTCCATCGTGCTGCGGTCCATGGGGATCACCGAGTACCACAGCGGGGACTCGGCGATGCAGGACCGCTCGGGCTGCAGGTAGAACACGTCGTTGCGGTTCCGCAGACTCTCGGGGCTGCAAAGGGAGAGCAAGGTCAGACCTGAGGGGTCTCAGCTTCAGGGGCTCAGCCAGCCTGGCCTGCTGTCATGGTTAGCAAGGGGGGCTCAAGGCTTGCCACAGCCTCTCATCACTCAGCAGGATGAGGACACAAACTGAGCCTGCTGCTCCTTGCTCAGGACCAAAACCCCTAACCACCCAAGCACCTGGACTCATATGGCACGCTCCTGCCAGTCTGGAGAAAGGCAAGAAGTGGAAAAGGCCAGAGAGAAGCATTTTCTCAACCGTGATCTACACATGCAGCACAGACCTTGTGCAAGGCTTCAAGTTCATGTACAAACATATGGAGAGCAGCAGTCACTCCACATGGTCCCACTAAAACTGAGTGGTGGCCCCAAAATGGCACATGTCCCTTCTCCAGAGAAAGCCTCACCATTTGGAGAGATAGAACTCATAGAACTTGACTGGGCATCGGAGGGGGTTCATCCTGTTCTCCCGCTGCTCCAACATCGGTACCTCCTCCTCACGCTTCCGTTTTCCAGAGCCACCATCTGCAGAGGGGGAAGAGAGCTGGATCATGGCTGTATCCCAACAGGGGAAGCAGGGGGAGGGACAGAGATGTTCCCTCAGGCCCTACCTCGGCTTTTCTTCTGCTTGGCAGGAGCATAGTAGCGGATGCTCACCACCTTTGTCACGCCACGGGCAGTGGTGCACTTGCGGGACTGGCGCACCACGTTGGTGAAGGAGAGCTGCATGTGCTCCTCCGCTGTCTGTAGCCCGAAGAACTTAGTATTGAAGAACATGAGGGTGTTCAGCAGCACAAAGGGTGAGTAAACACCCAGCTGTTTGCACTCCCAGAGGTGCTCCTCCTCGACACGGGAGAAAACAGTGTCTGCAACACACAGAGGAAGAACCGGGTCACATCAACAGCAGCCTTACGGCAATTCCTTCATCCTGCCCAGAAATCTGTGAAAGACTGACACTTCACAACATCTTTTTTTCCGTAAGGTTACTCCTCCAGAGCCATCAGCAGAACTAGATGCTGGCTCCGCCACAAGCCACCCCAGACCACAGCCAAACCACAGACAAGAACCCAAATTAATTCTAATTGCTCATCACTATAGATGGCCACAGAGTGATCTCCAGGTCAGTGCTCCACCACACTCAGTGAGAGATGAAGGAAAAGCAGCAGGCAGAAGAGACACAGCCAGCTCCTGCCTAAATACACAGGTCTGGAGCCAAATGCTTCTGCCTGGGACAGCCAATATGCAGAGGTAAGGCTGGATCTTTGACTGACAAGACACAGCAGGGAAGGCACCTCAGAACACAGCATCATGAAAAGCCTCTGCAGAGCTCTAAGTTAAGTCCATTCACAAGGCAGCAGCACAGCGACCTTGGCCAAGGCTTAGCACAGTGTGCAGGGCTCACCCATGTGCTGGGAACACAAAGACATGTGCCAGTGTGCCCCCTGGGTTGGCATCCTCTTTGCCAAAGGGTGGAGACATCACTGTGAAGTGTTGCAAAGATTCAAACTGTCCCAGGAAAGAAAGCATGTGTGCTCTGCTCTCAGTTATGCTGACTGTGGGCTACAGAAGCTGCTGAGGCGTAAACCACACTGGCCCTGCTGTCAGTTTTGGGTCAGCCTGACCCCAAGACACAGCAGGACTGTGCTGCCTACACCAAGAAAGAGGGTTGAGACTGGGGGAACACAATCAGACCAGAGGATCCCAGGCTAGGAGCACAAACTGGGTATGTGTGGTGACTGAGGGTACTCAGAAGACACGTACTATTTGGTAAGACTGTGGGTTGCCAGCCGCTCAGGGACTTGTTCAGCTCCTGCACGAAGGTCAGGTAGTAAAGGTCTGTAAATATATTCACCATACGATTGTTCTCGAGCAGGTACTAGAAAGGACAGAACACACAGTCAAGAGAAATACAGCAGCACCTGGAATGCAAACCCTCCCCAGAGAACCCAGGGCACACATGCAGAGCACCCTTCCTTGTGCCACCAGAGCTGCAGGGCAGACACTTCTGAGAGCTGCAAGGAAAACCTTGGGGCATGACAAAGGAGACTTGGCAATGAAGAAGGGAATGAGTCTGGGGAGATCTCCCAGCCCTCCTCAAGGATGTGCAGGAAGGGTGTGAGGTTAGGAAACAGCTGACACTCTACACTCTGGGCTTGGAAACAAAGGCCAAACCAGGTGGGCTGCTGTCCTGGGGTGAGGCAATGAAGGTGAGTCCAGTGAGCCTCTCTGGGTCCCCAGGAAGCAGAATGAAGGGTAAAAGCTCCCCCTACCAGTTCTGACCCCAAGTCTGGCTGTGGAGGACTGGAGGGCAGCAAGGCCTCCCTCACCTGCTGGATGCCAAGGCAGAGGTAATAGATGCTGTCGGGTTCATAGCGCTCCCCGTTGGGCCGTGTTATCTCCTTGACAAACTGGGCCAGGCCATAGTTGAGCTCAGCTGCTGAGCAGGCTAAGATGTCCTCCTTGATCCTCATGGGCTTGGCTGCGGAGACAAGCACAGCAGCCTCAGACAACAGCCTGCAAGGTCAGGAGCACCTCAGCACCCTGTGATCCAGCTTCTGGGAGGTCTCTGCCACTCCACTGCATCCACACAAGGCACTTACGGCCAAAGCGTAGCTCCTCTCCCTTGCTGGTTTCTCCTCCTGCGTACTTGGCTTGCACCCAGGACTTCCAGGCATTCACTCCATACGAGTAGTTCAGGACTGTACAGCTGGGCTGGCTGCTCATTGAGTCCCGGGAACAGCTTTCAGAGAGCACCAGGCGCTTCTGCCCCTGCAGAGAGGTGTACTGTGAGACCAGGCACCTACCTGGGACAGGTGCAAGAGTTGTGGCCATCCCTCAGACCTGTGACTGCAGTGTGTGACTCCCAGTGTGCCTGTGCCCACACCAGCAGGCACCCTTCTGCTGACAGCCAAGCCAACAAGGCCCATTAGTTATGACAGCCAGAGGAACGAGACCAGCTCTCACATGACCTGTAGCATTCAAAGCTCCTCCAAAGTATTTCCATTCAAGGAGTGGCCCACAGGCCAAGCATGTTCAGAGGGGAGAGGGTACAACCTCCCCAGCACACCAAAGCCTCTGGCACATTTCACCTCCTACATCCCAGATGGCAGCTCCAAGCCCAAAGAGCTTTAAGCAGGCAGCACCCACAGAGAGCTCACCTTTCGGACAGCTCGAGGCAGATCTTGCTCTGTGGACACATCATCTGGTCCCACCAGCCCACAGTCAAAGAGGAAGTCCACACTGGGGTTGATGTCTAGAGGGTCTGAAAGGAAACACAGGCAGAAGGGCTCAGCTGAGACTTCTCATCCTGTCCCCTGTGCTGGCAAGTGTTTTACATACAGCAAGATGAAGCAAGGACACTTCACACCCCCCACCACTGTCTGGCATGAACTTTAGCCACAGCACAACAAAGGAAATATGTTTCTGGCAGGTGATGCTAAGCTCTCTCAGAATAACCAGAGCCCTACATTTTTCCCCTCTGACAGTTTTTTTGTTTGCTTGTTTTTCAAAGCTGAGGAACATTCCTAATGCCCTTGTACCAGGCCAGTACTGTGGACAGCCTGGCACAGGCACCTCAATTCTATCCTTTGCTGCTACCACCCTGCCCAGCACTGCTGTGCTTCTGTGAGTCCCTGCCTCCTCTTCCACCTTCTGCCTGATAATGGACATTCAGCAATTTTGCCACTTCCAGGATGTCATGCTTTGTCCAGGTCTCTTGCCTTGCTGGTTCCTCTGGAATCATCATCCATAAGCACACCAGTGCTGCTGCTGCCCTGCTCTCTGTGCTGTTAAAACCAGCTTCTCATTCCCCCTTCTCTGCAGACCTATATTCTCACCAGGTAAGTGAGAAGTGGTGGTCCCCTCACCCTTGCTGCAAGCAGTCATCTGCAAGGCTCAGCCCTAGGCCTGGTCAGTCAGAGGGCATGGGGAGGTAAATTCACACAGCTCTTAGAGCTGCTGGCAACAGTTGGCTGAGGGTACTGGGAGTACCCTGCTGCAGCACAAGCAGCCCTGCACACCTGCTTCCCCCAGCTCTTACTCTTAGGGAAGTCAGCCTCCAGATCCTGGCCCGGCTCATCGAGGACATTTGCCATCTTGACAGCCATAGCCAACACATCGTCCCGTGCTGGTCCGAACAGATCACAGTCCTCCAGGAGACCCTCTGCACTCTGGTTACTCACCAGGTCTGCAAGGCAAAAGCAGTTCATAAACCCAGCTGTTTTCCCTGTGACAGCTGGGAAATGAAGTTGGGCTCCCTGCATGCAGCACAGTCCTGTGCTCAGAGCAGCCCCACGACACCTGCACTGCCCAGTTTTCTCTGGACGGCAAGACATTGGATGTTTGTCACCTCCCCAGCCACAACCCTCATCACTGGGGGTGAGGGTCAGCACTGCTAGTTTTCTAGCTAGTAAGCTGCTTTAGGAAAGAGCCTGAACAAACTAACAGTGCACCCCCAAAAGTGGCAGACAGTGCTCCCTGCTGCAGCTCTTCCCTTTTGGTAGCTCCTCAGCAGAAGCTGAGGAATTGTTATTCCCTGCTTACTTTTTTGAGAGGCTTTGGAGAGCTGCAATCCAGGCAGGTGTTTTAGCTCCAAGAGCCAGCAAACCTCCCTTGATCCCAGCTGTTGGGCCAGACCAAGCCATGGTAGAACCTACCACACAGGTCCGAGGAGGCCTTGTCTAGTTCCTCAGCCTCTGCAATCATCTCAGCCATGGCCAGGATGTCAGCTTCCAGGGGATTGGAGGGGATCTTCACTTTCAGTTCCTCAATGGTCTCCACAATCTTCTCTGTGCTTTCCAGGGTGGTGGGCAGGAACATTGGCACAGGCACCTGTAGACAGCAGCACACCAAGCAGAAAACTGACACTCAGCAGATTGACACAAAAGCAGAGGCAGGAGAAGAGGATAAACAGAGAAGAAGAGAGGCTGCAGCAAGGCAGGATCAAGACAGTAGGAGAACAGGAGCAGGTGAAGTGCATTGCTTACCGGGACAGGCATGGAGAAAGGCACAGGTACTTTCTGGCAGTACATATGCATAGGCACAGGCACGAAGATCGGGACGGGGATTGGCAATACAACCACCTGGGGCTTCCAGTCAGCCTCTGACAAGAGCAAAAGTACATCAGTGAGCTTGATCCCAGAAGCTCCTCCACCCAGCCCTGCCACACACTGACATGCCCCCAGCCATCCAGCACCGCAGCCCTTCCAGCCACCAGCTTCTATGATTTACGGACAGAGCTGGAGCAGCAGCAAGAGGCTTGCCTTAGCCAGAAGTGCAAGTCCTGCTCTTATGTAACCCTGCCAAGAGGTCCAGTTGCCTTGCACATGCTGGAGACCACACACACATGGCCAACATGAGCTACAGAGTGGAACATGCTCAACAGATGGCCCTCGGACAAGCTAACAATCTCCAGAGCAACAGGAGTTGTCCCACAAGAAGTGGGATCATGCTACAGAGCTCTTTGCATCTCTCCTTTTGCTGATGATGGGAATGGGCTCCCTGCCTCCAGCCCTGCCACATGTGCCCTGCACCTGCCCACAGACTCCTCAGCATGGTGCCAAACACACTTTGTGCAGCGTTTCAAGCTGGATGCAGAGTCTGGAGCAGGGATGTGCCCCTTGCCTTTCCAAAATGCCCCTGTAATCCTGCAGTTATGTCTTGTTTTCCTACCTGTCTGACATCCTTTGGACTTCATTTCTAACTTGCAGGAAACGCCCCGGTTCTGCATCAGTGGTTTGCACATGGCAGCTTTGTTTTTCCGAGGGGTGGCTGGAACCACTGGTGGGGCGGGAGGCGGCGCAGCTGAAGATGTCTGGGCTGAGGAGGCCTTTGCTGACAGCTGAGGAAATGCAGAAAGCAGGAGGTTGATGTTCACCTAAGGCAGCACAACTTCTTTCCTACTACAGCTACAGCTGGAGTGACTCCCAAAGCACCTCCTGCGGCCTGGCAGTCCCCAACACACACGTGGACGCTCCCACGGTCAGGCCTGGACAAAGGACTGCCAAGCTGCTCCTGGCAGGCAGCAAACCTGTGTGGTGTCCCTGCTGTGCCAGGAGTCTGGCACTGGTGGCTCCTGTCCCACGGGGCAGAGGGAACAGTGGGACAGTGACTAAACCCAGGCACAGAAAAGCATCATGCAAAAGAAGCCAGTGCCACTGTGTCAGGTTATTCTGGAGTTCATCAACTCCTAGAGAATGGTTATTCTTCCCCCTTGCAGGACTTATGCTGATACTGCCCTCCCTAGAAGCTCTTATGAGCTCCCACTATCTAGACATCTTAAAATTCATTGATTGTAGAAGAACGAAATCTCCCTGAGCAATGGCAGAACTGTTCTCTCTTTGTGCTATCTTGCAAACTCCTACCTCCAATGGGTCTTACCATGTTAGTCTCTGTCTTCTGTGGGGAAGGGACAGCTGGTTTTGGATCTGAAGTCTGACCTGTAAGAGAAAGCAACAACTCTTGAGTTCAAGAGCTCCTGGGCCAATGTGTCCCACTGCTGGGACTGGAGGTACCAGCAGCCAGAGAGCAGGGACAGGCTCCCCAGAAACTCCTCCTGGCCACTCCAGGAATAGTCAATGTTTCCACAATCTCTAGCCCTAGCAGCTCAGAAGACACTACAACTCCAAAATCAAGTTACTCCCATGTCATTTTGTGCTCACCTGCAGTCCATCCCATCCCCATCACAGCAGGTCAGGAGAAATCCCAGCCCCTTGTTGAGAGAGGAATCCAGGGCTCTATTCCCAGCTCTGCCTATTGGCTTGCTGTACCGAGCCATGGCCCCTCCCTGTGCCTCCATATCCCTGCTACAAATATCTTGGCAAAGTGCTTCGAGATCCCTAGGAAGAAGGTGACAGAGCTATCAGTAGCATTATGAGATATTTCAGAAAGCAGAGAGACAGCTTTGCCCTAGCCCTAGGGATGCAGTATATTCCCCTAAGGAAAGAAGGGATCACCTACAGATAAGAGGTGCATGTGGCAGGCAGTCTCAGGTGGTGACAGTATCACCCTACCTTGGATGATAATTCCAGCTCATTTGCTCTGCAGAGAACCTGCACCCATCTCAAAGGCCTATGAGCTAACAGAGCACCTTCATCCCAGCCTCCAGTGAGCCCTGGTTACCCATGTGGCTGCCAAAAACATCTGCCTTCTACAGCACTGACTAACTGTGGGCCATGCATGGAGGAGATACCTGCCAGGAAAGCAGCAGGTCTCAGCACCCAAAGGCAGTGGCGGGTCCATTTGCATCTCCTACACACAGACTGGCTCTTCAGGAATGACCCAGATTCCTAGAGGTCCAACACACAGACCATGGACTGTGCAGATTTCCTCTGTCCTAAGGAAATGCAGGACAGCTCTTGTGCAACTGGAGGCCTGGCAGGCTCCACTTGCTGGCCACCACAGCGGAAAACAGGCAAGTTCCAGTTGGAGGAAGCTTCCTAGTCTGCAGCTAAGCATTCAGCCATAGGTTCTGCAGCAGTTTCAGAGTCCAAGAACTCACCCTGACAGCCCAAAGTGGATGGGCAGCAGGTCCAGGTAGGAAACATCAGTGGTTTGACTGAGAAAAGACAAGCTATGGTGCATGAGCAGAATTTCTGCTGCAGCAAAATCAAAAGCAAACATGATTGCCCCATAGGCCAATGATTTAGGACTAAGAAAACAAGATTCTCCTGCCACAAAGCTCCATGTGTCCAGGTTTCCAGGAAAACTGTGGCTTGTTCTTTACTCTCATCCCAATACCAACAAAGAGCTGTCAAGGCATGCCTGCCCCATCAGTGACTTCTGACCCTCTACCCTCTCCAGTTGGGTGCAGAGCCAGTTCCCCTTGGAAGTGTTTGGGCACAGTTTTGTAGCAGAAGCTCCTCAATCCTGCATTACATGGACTGTTCCTAGCAAAAGAATAGCTGCTTATATGATCAGCAACAAGCAGTCTCAAGATCACTAAGCTGGTAGCAGCCACTGGGTCACGGGAATTAAAGGTTCTAGGCAACCACTGGCTGCAACAGAATAACAAGTAGTCAACAGCTCTGCCCACGATGGGCCTGAAATCCAGGCAGTCCCTTGTGAGCTGGCGATGCAGCTGCCAGGTCCACAGGACACCCTGACTGCACCAGGCAAAGCTGCTCCTCATCATGAGCTGACAAGCTGCTCCTCCTCAAATTCCCTGCACAGCACAGTGGGCTGGAAAGCTCTCTGTGTAAGCAGGTCCTTGGCTCCAGCACCCTTCCTTTGCAAACTCAGCAGTATGCCACAGTCCTGGGGCAAGGGTGTCCATGGCTATCCCACATCTGGGTGTGCCAGAACACACAGAGGGCCCAGTGCCACCAGCAGCATTCACCAAGCACAGCAGCTGCTGGGGCAGCCTGGAGCTTGTGCTCAGCTGAGCACTCACTACTGATGAAGGGCTTTTCCTTGGCTCCCTCAGAGTCCTCACAGGGGGCACAGAGAGGCAGCTGTGGAGGGTGATGCCCCACATACCAAGAAGCAAAATTCTTGGAGCTTTCCAGAGATGTGGTACAGGAGGCCTGAGACTCTCATGATTGGTGGTGGTGGAGAAGGTACTTCTGAGTCTTGTGGTCCATGGCTCCAAGTAGCAAGGTCCAATGGCTAAACAACGTGAAACATGGTTCCCCCTGCAGGCAGAGTTTGCCACTGTGCCTGTGTTGCAAAAGCAGTGTTATTGGTCCCTCACAAGTGACATGCCTTGAAAGCAGAGGACAAATGCAACAGGATGGCTAGGGCTGTGGAATCACTTGGTGAGCTACAGGAACCAGCAAGTTTAACATCTCTTCTTCTCCTGGGCAGCAGAACACTGTAAACTATCAAGCAGACTTCCCATGGGCACCCTTGTGCCAGCAGAAACCAACAGTTCCTTATCCAGGTCACTCCAGTGTCCTGCCACTTGAGCTGTCACCTCACACAGCTTTTTATGGAATGTGGCTCTTGGAAGGCAGGTTGGGACTCCCCTAGCTGGGAGAACCTGCTGCTTCTGGAGAAGCAGCTCTGCTTTACTATCTAAGCAGCAGCGACATCTGGAGCTTCCCCCATCTTACAATCAGTCCACAGGAGAGGAACTAGAAGAGTCTGGAGATGGATGATGAGGTCTCTCATGTGAAGGTCCTTGTCTTGGTTTCCCCTCCTTGGCACATCCTAGCCAGGGTTTTACACTTCATGAAATCCCAGGGAAGGCAGCAAAGCCCTGAACCTGCAGCGCAGGTATGTGTTGGAGCTTGATACACTGAAGGAAGTCCCACCATAAACTGCAGGCATCTTAACTAGATCCCACAGATTACCAAGGACATCGTGGCCTACGCCAGACCAAGCAGAACGAGATCATGCAAAAGTCCAAGGGCCAAGCGATGTCTTGTCACTCACTACGAGCACCTTCCATCCTGAGGGATCCCAAAGCACTTTGCAATCTTGCATAAGCAACTGGCTCAAGTTAATGACAGGAAATGGGGCAACAGGCAGCGAAAATCTCCTCTCCAGCTGGAACTCCATGGATGCAGAATGGGGTTATCTGGGGGACAGGGTTGGCAACTCCCCAAAGCTGCAGTGAACTTTGGGTAAATGGTAGGACTCCAATCTAACATCACAAGACAAGAGTGCCTCCAGCAGCTCAGTGCTCCCTCAAGACCGTTCTAGGTTCAGCTCTGGCTGAGGAGAGCCCACCTACAGCGTCACCAGCACCACTTCCTGCAGCACCCTTCTTTGTCCTTGAATGCTTCCCATCCAAGCACTGACCTGGCCCAATCCAGATTAGCTTATGAGATCTGAGAAGGTCACAGCTCGGAGGTGGTGTGGGGCTGCAGGTGGATTGTCATGCCAAACCACGCTGTCCCCTAACCCTGTAAATCGAGCTCTCCGCTGGCAACTTGAGGATGTTAAATCCCTGAGTATCCTCGCTAAGTGTGAGCTACAGGCAGCACGCTGGCACCGGCTCCTCCCGTCTGGGCCCTGTGTGTCATAGAACCATAGATGTTAGAGATGGAGAAGCCCATTAGGTCCCACTCCGTCCTTTCCCCCCCAAGGGCCAGTGCAGGATTGTTCCCTAGCGTCTCCTCCAGTCCCAAGCAGGAAGCTTCCACCCCTGCTGTTCAGTCTTCCCTGTGTCTCTCAGACTGAGCTATGCAGGTCCCCTCCCTCCCTCCTACTCACTGTTCAGCAGGCTCTCGGGCCCCTTCTGCGTGTCCAGGTTGGGCTGGTTCTGTTGATTGTAAAATCGCAGCAGACACTGCTGGTTGCAGAAGTGTTTGATTTGCCCCCGCCAGTGGATGGTTTCCAGCAGCTTCCCCTGACGCTTGCAGGCATGGCACCGAGCTGCCTAAAGCCCGCATCAGCAGGAGAGAAACAACGAGTAACTAACCACACCCCCTCCGAGTGCAACACAACTCTCCAGTGAAAGGTGCACATAGCAAGGTGCTGTGAGCTTCCCCACAGCAGTGCCCTGCCAGTGCCAGCCAGGGACTCCAGCGGTGCGAACTTCTCACAGCAGCACTAGCCGCGGATCCAGCACTGTGAGCTTCCTCAGTGCAGTGCTCTGTCTGGCAGGATCAGCTGGGGACTCCAGCTACGTGAGCTTCCCCGTAGCAGTGTCCCGTCATTGCCAGGCAGGACTCCAGCAGTGCCAGGTTCTCCGCAGCAGTGCCAGCCAGACTCCAGCAGTGCGAACTTCCTCAGTGCAATGCCCACTTATCTGGGTGCCGTGCCCACCACAGCACTTAGCACAAGCTGCCAGTGCCAATACTGACCTTGAAGTACCAGAGCAAGTATTTGCTTTTGCAGTCTTCACTACAGAAGTCCCAGGTGCTGCCCTCCAGCTGCTCGGTGACCGCCCGCTGGCAGGTCTGAGAACAGTAGGTGCAGGTGATGCAGCACAGGCCCAGGTTCTTGGTGAAATCCTGTTTGTAAAGAAGCACACACCCTGCGGAGAAACAATAGGAGTGAAACCTTCCCAGGATGAACTGGGGGCCTCCCTGACCCAAACATGACCAAAATCCAGGTCTGCGGAGACAACAGAGCACACGCAACACACTGTAGGGAACAATCCAGCACTGGCCCCTGGGGCTGGGATAAGATGGGACCTCATGGGGACTTGCCATCTCTCACCTCCATGCTTCTAGGAAGAGTCTGACTCCAACCTCCTGTGTGCAGGAACCCAGCAGGCAGGGCAAGGCCAGGTCAGGCCAGCCCAGACGCAAGAGCGTAGAAGTGCATGATGACAGGAGGAGCGGAGCTGCCACCTGCTGTCTCCCCAGCCCCCAGAGAGAGAAAAGCTGTGAGAAGGCCCTCCCCAAGGACACAATGAACGGTAAAGATCTAGCCCTAGGGCCTGGCTGGACAGCAAGCCATCCCCACAACAGTCCTCCCTTCACTGCACGGCAAGGCTCTTGCCCCAGGGCCTGGCTAAGACAATCTCCCCTCTGTTCCTCTCCATGCTCTCTTCTCCTCCCCCAGCATGGGCTGGCATGGGGGCTCTGCCTTTCCCATGCCTTCCCCAAGTACCTTCGCTGCAGAAGTTCTTCTCCACTCCAGAGAAACGGATTTTCTCATGCAGCAGCTTCTCCTGCTTGCAGTGCTCACACTGGGACACCACCCCACGCAGCCGCTTGAAGTCCTCGCAGCAGTCCTTGCAGCAGAACTGATACACCTTGTCCTGCCAAAGAGACCGCTGCCAGGTCAGCCAGGCTGGCAGGAGGTTCCCACACTTCTCAAGGAAGCAGGAGAAGACTACAGGGCTGAGTCAACTCCCCAGTTCTCCTAGCACAGGGTTTGGCAGAAGTGGTCTCCTCCTGCCCTTCCGACATTCCGCTGAACTCCAGGAGTGCAGCACTCAGCACAGTCTCCAGGCATGTCTCTGCAGCCAAGGCTTTCAGAGAACTGGCACAGGAGGAGCTCTGCTTTGAGCAGAGAGATGAAGGAGCCCTGCAGCTCTCACCAGTGTTGGCCTCCAACTCAATATTCCCCCCGGGGAAAGTCCTCACCTGCCAGTCTAGGATCTCTGGCTTCCCGCTGAAAAGATTGTGGCAGTAATGGCAGTTGAGGTGGATCCCACCTTCCGGGCTGGTGCGCTGCAGGAGAAGAGACAGCTCATGGAGGGAGAGGCACATGGAGGGCAGTGGACATCTGATTCTCACTGCCACCACTGCCTGTATCCTCCACAGTCACAAGAAGCCCACCCAACCCCACTCAGACCTGATGCCACCGTTGGTGACTCAGTCAGTCCACCAGATCATATCTCAAACTCCTGGAGAGCAGATTCTTGACAGCAATTTCACTTTGCTTCCAATGTGCTGGGTCCAGCTCTTCTCAGGAAGGTAAGTTTTCAAGTTGCCACCCCACTGGATTTGAAAACATCAAGGGATGGGGGCTCTGCAACTTCTTCTCTAAAAGTTCCTGAAGCGCAGCTGCTTGGTTTCTATTTTCAAGGTAATGGAGTTTCAGAATTCAAGCAGCCTTCTCATTCCACCTTCTGCTAGATTAAATAGCCATTTAGCATTTAGTGTCTCATCCATAAGGATCTATTTATTAATAAAGTCATCTTCCTGGTTTTCTTTCTGATAACCTCAGATAAGGCATTCTGCAAGTGCCTCAGTACAAGCATTTTTCAAGCCCAAATGTAATTGTTATGTTTTTTTTTCAGGATACTTCCAAGTTTTCTGCAATATTGAAAATAAAGCGGACATTGGAAAATATTTCCTATCTGTCCAACATTCTAGGTAGCTCTTTTGCTCCCTAGCCCTCAAACTTTAACTCCATGTTCTTCTGCTTCTGCTTGCAAGAACTTAATTAATCCTTCCCTCTGTGGCTGTAAACTGAGACGCTCATACTGAACAGCTTATCTGCTGTAATCCCAAGGTCTTTTCAAAATCCTTACTTTCCCAGGACTTGCATCCCCACACTACTTGAGTAAGGCTGACACAGGATCTTACACTGAACTGTATTTAAACACAGATTAGGAAGAACCAGCCTTGTCAATCAATCCAATTTCTTTGCTTTCTGTGACTGCCCTGGCTTCAGCATGGGCTCAGGTCACCAGTTTTCGTTTCATCTGCAACATTTTATTATGCTTACTTTGACTTTATTGCCAAATGACTGATGAAAACGTTGAACTCCATTGACTGGCATTAAGCCAAGCTTAATACTGATCCCCAAGAAACCATCTTGAAACATTCTCTTCAGCTGTTTTAGTTTGACAAGTGTGTTCTGAGATCTGCCAGCAAGACAGTTCCTAATCCAGGTTATGCCTTGGTTTACTCATATGGTACAATGCTGGTTTTACATGGCAATAATTCAAGTTACATGACTGGGTGAAGTCCCAGGTAACTGGAAAAAGGGAAACATTGCAACCATTTCTAAACTGGGCAGAAAGAAGCACCCTGGGAACCACCAACCTGTCAGCTTCACCACTGTGCCTGGGAGGATCATGGAACAGATCCTTCTGGAAGCTGTGCAAAGGCACATGGAGAACAGGAAGGTGATTCAAGACAGCCAGCACGGCTTCACCAAGGGCAAGTCCTGCCTGACTAACCTAGTTCCTCAGTGGAGTGACTACATCGGTGGAGAAGCAGAGAGTTATGGATGCCACCATCTCTGGACCTCTGTAAGGCCTTTGACACACTCCCCCACAACATCCTTCTCTCTAAATTGGAGAGAGACGGATTTGCTGAGTGGACTGGATGAGGAATTGGCTGGATGGTTGCACAGAAGATAGTGGTCAATGGTTCAGTGTCCAGATGGAGATCAGTGACAAGTGGTGTCCCTCAGGGATCCATACTGGGACCAGTCCAGTTTAATATCTTCATCAATGACATAGTGGATTGAGAGAACCCTCAGGAAGTTTGCAGATGACACCAAGCTGAGTCATGCAGTTGACAAGCCTGAGGGACAGAGTGACATCCAGAGAGACCTGGACAAGCTTGAGGTTCAACCAGGCCAAGTGCAAGGTGCTGCACCTGGGTCTGGGCAACCCCCAGTATCAGTACAGGATGGGGGATGAACAGATCAAGAGCAGCCCTGCCAAGAAGGATTTGGGGGTGCTGGTGGATGAGAGGCTGGACATGAGCTGGCAACATGAGCTCACAGCCCAGGGAGCCAACTGTACCCTGGGCTGCCCAAAAAGAAGCACGACCAGCAGGTCTAGGGAGGTGACTCTATGCCTCCTCCACTATGGTGAGACCCCACCTGCAGAGCTGCCTCCAGCACTGGGGTCCCCAGCACAGGAAGGACATGGACCTGTTGGGAGTGAGTCCAGAGGAGGGCCATGAAAACAACCAGAGGACTGGAACAGCTCTTCTATCAAGAAAGGCTGAGGAAGTTGAGGTTATTCAGCCTGGAGAAGAGAACACTCTGGGGAGACCTTATTGTGGCCTTTCAATACTTATAAGAAAGATATCAGAGGACACACATTTTAGCAGAGCCTGTTGTGATAGCACAAGGGGTAACAGTTTTAAACTAAAAGAGAGTAGATTTAGATTAGCTAAAAAGAAGTTTTTCACAATGAGGGTGGTGAAACACTGGCACAGGTTGCCCAGAGAGGTGGTAGATGCCCCATCCTTACAAATATTCAAAGGTCAGGTTGGACAGGGCTCTGAGGAACCTGACCTAGTTGAAGATGTACCTGCTCACTGCAGAGGCTGGACTAGATGACATTTAAAGGTCTCTTTCAACTGAAACTGTTCTATAATTCTAGTCTTGTGAAGTCTGCAACTGTAAAAACTCTACAGTTACTCTACCCAGACTATTTGTGATCTCAGTGAAGGATTACATCAAAGAACACCAAAAAACCCCAATCGAAAAAACCCCAAAACAAAAACAATAACAATAAAAAAACCCCACCCCCCAATCAATTAAAAAAACCCCACAACCAATTAAAAAAAAAAAATCCAAAAACCAAATGCTGCAACTGCCAGTAACTACCTCTTACCTCTAGATTCTCTACGTTTTCTCAGTTGCACTTCGCACGTCCTGGCCTAAGTTTCCCAGGTCTTCCTGGCTGTTACTCTGTTCTTTGACAACTGTACAAAACTAATAACCTTCAAGTTGCCTATGAATACCACAGACATTTCACACATGCTGAAACTTAATGTCAGAAGATTAAAAACCGCTAGTCAAGCCTTCGAGGATTATCAAACATGAGGTATCCAGGCCTGCTGGCTCTAAGTTTTTAGACAATACATTCTAGAAGGCTTATATTTCTTGGTGACACCTGACTCAGAGGGGAGCTCTGCCCCTTTCCACCCAGCTAGCAGGTGTGTACCGTGCTTTGCTGACTTACTTGTGCTTTTGCTCATGCTCTTGTAAGGCCACTGCATCCCAAACCACTCATGCAGCACAGCTCTGCACTGCCCTTCCACTGGGCATAACCTGACAGACAGGAGTGAATTACAGCCTGCCTTATCCCAGTGGAGGAAGGGGATGATAGGGCCAAGACTGAGATATGAGCAATTACGGTCACTGCAACTCTTGTGTTCCACAGAGACTTTCTTAGGAACTCTCCCTGAGGAGCTCAAGGAAGGTGGAGCCTCTGCTAAGTGTGAAAGGAGGCATGAGCTCTGTGGCCCAGCCCAGCATGAAGGATACTTCAGTACCTGGAATTTGGTCCAGCAGCTGGGACTGCAGAACTGGTAGACAACCCGGTCTGTCTTGTTGTAATAGCAGGGTTCAGATAAGCTCTTTCTGCAGAAGCTGCAGGGTCTAGGGGGACCTGATGAAACAGAGAGGAATTGGTGAGGGCAGCAGCAAACCATGTGAGACTGGATTCTGAGGATGGCACACAAGCTACTCACTCATCCTCAGTCTGACAAGCTATTATCAAAAGGCAAGGGACAAGAACACCAGGAAACCAAGAGCACTGGATTCTGCTAGGACAGAAATGTTAAACAGAGATGGAGAGCACAGGGGTTCAAGGGAGTGACTCTGGCTCTATAGGACATTGGACAAAATAGGTTGCAATACTTGCACCAGAGACCACACCCATTCCTGGACACCCTGGTACTCCATGTAACAGAAAGGGCAATGCCAGCCCAGCCCAGCACTACAGCTGCTCCCTGCATTCTCAAGAACAGCAATGTACACTACCCTCCACATTAAGATGTTTGCATTCTGCAAGGGTTCCTCCATATCCACATCTCCTTCCCCTGGTCTCACTGGATTCCTCCCCAGGCAAGCAACACATCTTCTTTTCAATCCCATCCACAAGCAATAAATAAAGCTAAGGAAGGAGTCAGAGTGGAGAGGTGACTGATTCCTTCTGTGTAGGTGCTCTTACCAACTAAGCCTGACTGCTTCACTTTGTGGGAGGTAGTGCAGCAAATGGAGCAGAACAGGCCCATCTTGCCACTGCGATCCACGTTGGGCAGCATGTCAAAGTTCTTGCACAGCGTCTTGCACCACATGCAGGGGTAGACCCGAGTGTTCTTCTGCAAGCACAGAGCAAAACAGAGCTGCCAGGGAGACCATCACAGCCAGCAAGGTCTGACCCTCACATCCCACCCCACTTTTGTATCCACCACAGGACTGCTCTCCTGCAGTGACCACCTGATGCCAGAACCACGCTCATAGTCTGCAGGTTCAGGTGGTGGTAGCAAAAAAGGCTGCCTTTGGCACTTCAGTTTCTCATTTTAAGGGTAGCCTGGCAGGAATACAGAGCTTGGCAATCCCATTGAGACAGTTAAGTGAAGCCTGCTCAGGTCACAGAAGAACATATCCAACAGAATCATGCTAACTGTATATACCAGTGTCACTATACAGTCCAGCTTATTGACTGCCTGACCCATCCCTGGGTCCAAGATGGGCCTCATGCAGAATAAATTCATTCTGTTTGCCTGCTTCAAAGTTTCTCCACAGAAATCTTTTAAATGCTTTGTCAGCAATAAAAGACCAAGGGGATTTGAATCACCTGTCATTGCATAAAGTTCCCTGTGCCACACCAAGCTAGGGAGGTGTGTGCCCACAGAGACCCCCCCACTCCAGGCAGCTGATCCACACACCTTCTTGTAACTGTTGAGACACGTAGAGTTGCAAAACCGTTTTTGCTGGCCTTCGTGGAAGAGGTACTCCAGGGGCAAGCCCTTGTTGTAGATATAAAGTCCACAGTTGTCACAGCAGTTTGTCTTCAGCCCCTTGGTGGCCCGGAACTTGGTGAAGCAGGCGTCACTGCAGATGCGGTGAACCACGCTCCCGTTGCTGACCTCATGCTGGATCTGCAGAGACATCATTGCTGTCACTCCCCAAACCATCAGGGGCCTCCTTCCAATGCAGCTGTACCACTGCTGCCACAGCCCTTGGGATAACAGGCTGAGATTTGGGCAAATGCCATACTGGAAGCTGGTGTGGACTCAGGGTGGCCTCCCTTGTCAAAAGTCAGTGGAGCAACTGGGAGAGCAGAGTGGTAGGAAGCAGTGAGCTTCAGGGTGGGGAGAAGCAGAAGCCTCCTTCCTTCTGCTAAAATAAGGGCTGGTTTACAGTAACACAAAAAGACCTGGGAGTGAGCCCAAGACAGCTCAGGGGCTGAAGCCTCACACCACAGGAAAACCTGGCAAATGCCCTGGTCCCAGGCAGGGCCAAATGCTGCAGGTCCCAAGCACCTCATCCAGGGCATGGGAAGGACAAGGGATTTATTTACCTCGCCAGGTTTGTGGCAAACACTGCAGCGGCTGGTGTCCGAGGCATCTGCAGACTGAGGTGCTGGTCTGTGCTGCTGGGCCTCGTAGAGGGAAAGGCAGACAGAGGTGCAGAACTCGTGGAAAGAGCCACCTGAACCAATCTGGGCAACCACAGAGTCCTTGGTGTTCCAGATCTCCCTGGGGATCAGGAGGGGATGTGTTAGTGCAGGGACACTTGAGTCCTGCCACAAAGGGATAGGATGGCCCACTGCAACGCACAGGACTCTCTAGTCCCAAAAAGTTGGCAAGAACTGTCTCACAGCAGCTTCTGTCCTGGCCCAGAGGAGTGGTGTCTGAAGACGGAGCATGCAGGAGGTTGTTTTGAGAGGAGGTTGGAATACGGGGCATTGAGTCTGGGGACAGGCAAGGAATGGCAATAATGTGAAGGGGGTGTAGGGAGCATGGGATATGCAGTGTGTGAAGGAAGACATGGGGCAGCAGCTGGCAGTGGGCAGGAGTGATGTGGGTGAATGAGGGCCATAGGAAGGGGACTGGCAGGCAGAGCTGTGGAGCAGGTGAACGGGGTCACGAGCATGGGAGCACTGAGGAAAGGGGAACGAACACACACTTTTTGCAGAAGGTGCATATCTTCTTGCCAGGTGGTTTTTTTGAGAAGGTGGTGAGGCAGGAGCTGGAGCAGAAGAGCTGAGGAAGCCCTTTGCGCTGGTAGGCCGTTTGGCCCTTCTGCAGGGGGGTCCTGCAGTTGGCACAGGTCATCTTGGTGAAGGTGGAGCGGGCGGCTCGCTGGGCCATCTGGGTGCGCAGGGACATGCGGGTCGAGCGCCGCGTGCGGAAAGGAACGAAATCCTCGTCGTTGGGATCATCCACCATTGCATCAGAGTCTTCGTCAGACACTGGAACTGCAAAGCAGCAGAGGAAGAGGCACAGAAATCCCTCATTAGGGACTGAGAAACTCTGCCATGAGACACACGCTGGGACTTTCTGGGTCACCTTTCTGGAGCCCCTCTACGTACTTTGTACCTGTCTGGGTGGAATGATAAAGGGACCCTTCAAAGAAAGTCTGTTGGAACTGGAGATGAATCAAGAGGTCTTTAAGCAAACTGGGCTTAAGAACAATTCCTCTTTAGGAAGTCATGATATGTCAAGGTTGAGCAGAAGCCCAAAGTGTGAACTTTTATAGCAGAAAACCCTCCAAGAGCCAGCAGACCTTAAAGGAACAGCACAGGCAGGCAATAAAAGAGCAACACACAGATGCTAGGGAATGGTAGGGTGACACTCAACCCCTCAGAGACTTCATGCACTTCTGCAGGAAAATCCCCAAGATGCAACCTTCCTTCAGACAGCCTGCTGCCAGAGACAAAGGAAGAAAGTTCCTGGCTGAGGAGATGGAAGATGCGTTTCCTGGGAACAAGCCCTGAGTCTCATCCTATTACTTAGTGCTTGGTGTCCACAAACCACTGTAAAAATAAGACAACACTGCCTGCTTTGACCTAAGTGCCCTAAGAAAGCAAGGCAAGTACCTGAGGATGAAGATTGGTGGGGTGAAAAGACCTGTCCAGTGTAGAAGGGAAGTCTGCACAGAAGCTCCAGAGTTCCCAGTGTACTCACACCATGAACCACCTGCCCCCAATGGATCTGGGCCCTTCTCTCAGGCTGAAAACAGGCATTGACCAACCCTAGTTACTTACTGCTCTCAGAGGAGTTCACAGTTTCAGGTCTGGCAGTTTCTGATCTTCTGGGTCGTTCACTTCTTTTCTGCTCCTAGAAGACATTCAGAAAATATTTAGGCTAACTATCTGCTAGGAAAACCATGGATAAATATCCCAGATCATGGTGGAGTTCCAACCTCTGGGATTTGCTTTCCCAACAGCTAGGCTGAAAACGGATAAAACTCCATGGATACCTGACCAGAGTTGGCAAGACAGAGGAGAGGGGGAAGTAGGCTTATGAGAATGACATTTCAGCTGTGGGTAGCAGGGACATGCTGAAGCCACATTACAGCACAGTGGCAGTGCACAGGGATCACTCCATCACAGGAGTCATGCAAACTCCTTCCCAGAGGGGTGATGAGGCAGCCAGTGTCCCTCACAGAGTCTGACAACAGCCAGCCACGCTCTATGCTCCTGTACCATACATAATTGACTGCATTGTCCTCACCTTCTCAGCTGGCAGCTCGCTCCCCTTCCCAGACAGGCTTTCTCCTGGAACAGAAGCACAGAAAAAGCTGTCATCTAACATCTTGCTTTTCTCCAACAGAAGACCACAGGTGTTCTCCAAACACAGTCACCATTTGGGTCAGCCCTGGCTATCAAGTACAATTCTGGTGGTGATCAGACACAGGAAAGCTCCTAAATCCACCATCTGTGGTTGGAGATCCAAACATGCAGCTTGGGAGGAGCCCTTGAGGGGGAGACCTCCCTGCGTGGGGGAGGCAGGCTGGGTGGGTAGTTACCTCCAACTGCTTCTGAACCAAGACTGAGCATCTCCTGGGGATGGTCAGCCTGGGCAGAGGAACTTTGCCTATTGGAAACACCTCCTGATGACCCTCAGTTCCAGCAAAGACTCCAGTCATGAAGAGTGTGAGCTAAGCTGATGCACAGCCACAGTTTCATCAGGGAAGCTCCTGGGCTGACACAAGCACTGATAATCAGCTAAAGCCATGAAAGCCTGAGCAAGAGCTTGTGTGCACCAGAGCACTATTCCCTGTATGCAAGAAGCTTTGCCCAAACCTAGACCATCAGTACCATTCACAGTTTCCATAGCAGGGGATGATGGGAAAAGCCAGAGTGCAGAAGAGACTCCAGCCTCAGCAACCTGCAGCTGGATGAGCGCCTGAGCAAAAGGAAGCCAAGTTCTGCTGAGCCAACAACTTACCTGCTGGTGCTGAGGCTTCCTGTGCTTTGAGTACACTATTTTCTTTAAGTGAGTTTTTCCCACTATCATCCCCTCCCTCTGCCCGGTTTTCCTCTGTAGGCTCAGGGGGCAAAGCTGCAGTTCTGCTGTCTGGGACCGGTTCCACCTCTGCTTCCCCTGCCAGCCCTTCCCTCTGCAGGGGTGAGCTTTTCCTTGGTGCTTTCAACTTCATCTTCTTTGTCTGTTTAAGACTGAGCTGCGGTGGGGGCATTGCTGGACTTGAGGACTGTGCTGTGGTTTCTTCCGTGGCAGGGGCACTGCTGAGGTTCCCAGAGTCAGGAATGGGTTTTCGAGGTGATTCAGGGGCCTTGTCACCAGGCAGTGCAGGAATAGCAGCAGCACCGTCTTCCTTTAGGTCCCCAGAACAATTTTTTGGTGCATCCTCCCCTTCTTTCCATGTTTCTGGAACAAGGGTTTCTCTAGAAAGGGCAGAGGAGTCTGATGGTCCATCCTCCACATCCCGGGAAGGATGTGCCTTACATAGCCCATCCAGACCCTCAGGTTTATCCTGCTCCATCAAGTCAGCAGTTTTATCCAAGTCATCTAAGACATCAGGTTTCTCCAGCATATCCAAGACATTAGGTTTATCTAGAACACGGTCATTTGATTTATTTAGTTCAGACAGGCTGTCTGCTTTCACTAGAAGGTCCAAGTCCCCATCTGCAGTCATCTGCTTGGATTGATCCCAGCCAGGGGGCTGAAGAACTGAAGCTTCCTGGGTGGAAGCTGTTTGGGAGCCCAGGAGATCTTCACCAAACTCCATGTCCGCAGGGAGATCTCCAATAAGCGGTTTGTCAGGCAAGGACAGGGGGTCCATAGATCCTGAAAATTCACTGGAATCCATTTAGAAGATGGCAACTGGAAATGAGAGAAAGACTTGCAAGTTAATGAAAAGCAGTCTAACACAGCACATGAACTGTCCACTGTTCTGAACACGGCTGGAGTAAGACAAGGCCCAGGAATGCTGCCAGCCACAACCAGAATACCAGACACTAGCAGGTCACTTCTGCTTGTGAGAGTACAAAAATCTAAAGCCAAACAGCAGCAGCAGGATGCAGTAGTCCAGTATAGCACTTTGGGGAACTCTACAGCCCTCACACACCTCACCAGAGCACGGCAAACAGACTTCTTTATGCTCAGTGACATAGGGGGGTATCAGAAATTACTTGAGGCTCCACACAGCTGTTCTGTGGTGTCTGATATCTCCATCCTCGCCTTCCTCTCTATCCAAATAATCTGGTATGTCCTTTCTCTTGATCTGTTCTCATGGAGCTAACACATCTTTTACTTTTAAAATATCTTTGCTCTTAAACCTCTCTTAAATAGAGGTAGAAATAAAGCCCCATAGCCTTAACAAGATAGAGGATGACAAGATGCATTAATTTTGCCAGAGGACAGATAAAAACAATGTTACAGTGTAACTACAGCTACTGCATAGCCCCAAAACTACGTGGGCTAATATTCAGACACAGAACAATTGGAAAAGCTTAAGTTAGAATGGGGAGGAGTTCTGGAGAGTGGCAAGAAGAAAGTCTGACATTAAAAGCAGCCATAAGAAGAAGAACAAGTAGCAAGGTAGACACAAGCACGCAATGCAGAGTCAGGAAAAAAGACCAGTGTGACTTTGCAGGGCACAGACAGTGCTCTTGAGCAGGAAGGTGTGGTGCAGACTGCCAGCCTCAGAGGGAAAGTTACAGCCCAGCTCCTCATGCTCGGCATTATCACAAGACAGAAAGGTCAAGGCTTTGAGATGAGACAAGTAATATTGTCTAAAAATGAATTATACCCCCACAAAGAGAGAATGGTTGACAAACCTGAAGAGGGAAAGGGAGTAGAAGCTGCAGTCTACAAGTGGTAAGGCAAAGTAAGACTTCAAGTAGCATCACGTCCCCAAAACAGGCTGTAGGTAGACACTACAAGAAAGGCACTAGAATCAAAAGATGTGGCACCAACCTACCCCTCCCTATCAGAGCAATTCTAATTCTAAATTTGGCACTGTTTTAAGCCCTGAACCAGAAATCCCATATTCCTGTCAACTGGGGCTTACTATGAGCATAATTCATCTATATCAGTGAAGGAGGAAGCCTGAAATAATTTCACTGGTGATAACTGTTTAATTCTTTCTTCATATCCTTTGTTCTGAAATGATAACCAAGTCTCACTCACAAATGGTTTGCTCAGAACTAAACAGGACATATTCAGACAAAGAATGTACCCACTTCTGAACCTCACTCAAGCAGGAGTTTAGTGAAATCATACCAAACATCTGGATTTCAGAGCCACTGCTTCCTTATTTTATCTTAAAACACAGTGAAGTTTTCTGTTTCCTGGTGGCAGATAAGCACTGTTCCCACAATCATGAACATAAACCACAGGAAATGTAATCTTCTGAGATGCCCAGCAAGTTTCATCACTAAAGACTTTGGTGATTCTGTTTACTTTTAGTTACAAGAGGAGACAAAGCTTCTAGAATAATTCCAGAGCATTACAAGATCTAATACGTGTTTTAGGGTGGCTGACAGAAAGAAGAACAAAGTGAAATAGAAACAAAGACATCTGAAAGAAAGGTCCTAGGGATTTGAAGCAAATGAGAACCCTCCCAAGATGATAAACACATTTTTTTTCTGCTGCTCAGAATACAAACAATGCCTCCTGCTCAAAGATGTCCCCCAGACAGACAGCAGACCCTACAACAATAAGCAAAAACATGACAAGCTACCCAGACGAATAAGGAAAGTTTATTTATAGGTATACCTAATAAGGCTAACATACTCCTCAAAATCACCTCAGACACTTTGTATGAGTCTGCAATGAACCACTAAGCTGACTCTCCTACAGTATTTGCCACATTCAGCTGGCCTAGGCTTTGCTTGGTAGAAACAGATCCTGGAAACAAATCTGGAGCATAAGAAATCCATTTGGGCATTCCCTTCCAGAGGATAATGCAAGCAACAATTAATCTGTGAATGTGCCATGCAATTTGTGTTCTACAAGTAGACCAAAGGCATCTGCTTTCAGCATTAACACTGCTTTCAAGCTCTGGGCATTACAGTGCAAAGACAAAACTCTGACATTAATGGCGACATCACTGACCAACAAAAATCTTAAAGAGAACAAGTATTCTGCAGATTAAGGCAATCCCAAACTATTGGTATGTGGCTGGGACAGGCAGACCTTTCTGCAGACCCCAGACTCTGCTCTAAGACCACTCACTTGCACACTCTGGTTGGAAGCCCTGAGCTCGCCCGTGTGTTCGAGGTGCTGTCCCCTTTCACCAGAATCCTCCCAGCAGAACAGCTCACACGTTCTGGTGAAGGACCGAAAACCTCCTCTTGGGACGTGCAAAGGTAAAGACTACTGCAGTCAGTCCAATGAAAGGACCACGTACTCAAGTATTCTGTTCCTATTCACACCAAGAATGGACACCTGAGGAGAGAGTATAAGAAACAGAACTAAAAGGATGTTCCTCTTCAGCTTATCCTCTGATCAGGCAGGACTCAGCTGCTGAAGAACCACTCGGCTTGAGTTGCACTGACAATGTCACTGTAAGGAGTCTGTACTGGGCAAATCCTCTGTGAGTCTGCCTAATCCCACTTTGAACCAACTTATACTCCAGAAATTCCAGTGGCTCTATTTTCTGCAGCTTAACATTTAGTTTTTAAAAGTATTTTCCTTCTGTTTGTTTTCAACCTGCTGCAGCAGAGCTCCAAGGGGTTACAGGGCACATGAATGCTAACTCTTGGTGTATTTATGAGAGTCTGGAAAAGCTGATGGAGTTAAGAATTGAAGCTGGACCCAACATGATGCTGACAGTCTGGGTGGGAAAGCAAGGAATGCCTCTGACAATGAATTCTTTACAATGGCTTTCAACTAGTGGATGAGGATGAAGAGGATGGCCCTCAGAACAGGAGAAAATGATGCTTTCCAGTTCTGTGAGTTGCTCTGAAGTCAAACTCAACCTAAAGAAATTAGAGCTGCTCAGCTGCAGCAAGGTAAGAAGCTCTACTTCTGTCTGCCTCAGGCACTCAGATTCATCTGGGCTTTCTGCTGAGCTTCACAGTGAGTTAAGCTGCAAACGGAGCGTGCACTTTTCTTCTGGTAAAGTCTTTTCTCACTTTCTACAACAGAAGCAGAACAGCTTATTGTTTTTGGCAGATGCTGAAATGATCCACCACAAGTCATCATCTTTTTTATTCCAGGACCAGCTCAGTCACTGGGATTTGCTCACTGGTCTGCTTGAAATCTTCCTCTTTTCCAGCCACATACCTGGCAGTGAGGAGAGTACACTGGAGCACGACTTGGCCAAACAAAGAGGAGGCAGTGTGCTGAAATCCTGCACGTTACAGCAGATATGACTGCTCCACTGGTCATTTGGAAACTCCTTACTTAGCACTCAGCACCTCTCTGGAGTATTCAGTAACAGATATATCCTTGGGAAGAGAACACGTTCAAGGAGCAAAGTCCCTTGCACACCAGCCTGCAGCACACTGCTTCCCAAGGAGCGTACAAGAGTTTCCAAAGAAGTGATGGGATGGCTGAGAGTCCTCCCCGAGCGTGCAGGACTGGGACAGAACACAACACTGACTGCCAAATCCAGTGATTACCAGACCTGCCCTGCCCTTTCTGCCGAAGAGGGGGCACGTGGATCTCCTCCCAGACATGGCAGCTCAGGGTGTGACATCTCTGCCAGGACACCTGAGCACACCAAGTGACTACCTGGGACTTTATTCAGTTTATTAAAGACATCAGTGGCGGTGGAACTGCACAGATCTTCAGTGTCCTCGGGTAACTACTAGCAAGGGAACACGTGGCCTGCCTATACAAATGTGGATCTACCATCAAACATTTAATTAAAACCAGACTGTCAGAAAAAATACTGTTGCCACTCCCTCACAATGAAGTGAATATCTCAGAAGTCTTTACTGCCCACAAAAAAAAGCACAGCCATGCAGTTACTGCTTTCCTCTAGTAAAGGAACAGCAACTGCTTGGGGACCTGTCCTCGACTTTCGTTCATGGATATGGATTCAGATTTTCAATCCTTTTGAAGGCTGAAGGATTTATCTTTTTCACTCATCTTAAAGCAAATGGATTTATGAAGAATCGCCATTAAACTAAGGACACTGCTGAGGACAAGGTTTCAGTCCAGTCCAAATTCTCCAGAAAGGAGCAGAAAGGATTTTGGTTTTGGAGAGGCAGCTCTCTGAGCTCTTACCCTGCAGCCCAAATTCAGCCTTCAAGAGCACAAAACCCACTGCTGACATTCAGTACAGTGCTATTTGCACACACAACCATGTTAGACCATTACTGTCTCATTCTTGGCTACTGTCTACACTTGATGACAGTTATTGGAAGAGCTGAGATGTTTAAAATATTTTTTTTTAATCTGAACAGTAATGCAAGAATCCCAGTGCTTTATCAATCAACCAGGGCTCAGAAAACACCTTCCAGTAATAAACTATTTTGTTCACTGAAAAGAAATGGGGAGACATGACCCATCTCAAAAAAAAATCACAAGGTAAGATCTACAGCAGAGGACCCTTCAGAGATGACAAATGCACCGTATGAGGACTCAAAAAGCTGGAAATCAAAGTTGGACAAACTCAGAAACAGATGCTTAAACAACTGATCCCAGGATCTGTAAGCCCTCTGTGACTTGGAAGTTTTACAACAGCATTCAGTGACTCTCTCCAAGCCAGCTTTAGCTACTGCAGCTTTAGCTACTGCAGGATGTCACTGGTCAAGTCCTTCAGCCTATGGTCTGCAGGTAGGGCTCAGTGAACAGTTGTCTCATCTCCAAATGTACTATTGGTTCCTAATTAGACTGCTGTCACCATGTCCCCTCCAGGCCAGCCTTCATGTGTGCCTGGCACTGTCTACACAATAGGAACTGGCATATGGGGAAAATAAGGGCTTTCCCAGAATATCACCAGCAGCCTCAAGACTCCAGCAACTGTTTTCTAACAGTCCCACAAAGCCAGAAGGGACCAAGACCACCACTACCTTTGCCAGAGCAGGAGCACCAGCTCACACTGCAAGCCTCAAACACAGTACAGCAATCACCCAGAACCCAGAAAGCCCAAATCCTCCAGCACAGAGGAGATGGTGCTGCAGAACAGCAACCACAAGTCTCCTCAGAGGCAGGAATGACCAAACCAGATTTTGA